CTAACTACATGTATCTAATGGGAACTAGAACTGGAACTAGAACTAATACATGAATTTATGGAGAACTAGAACTAAAACTAGAACTAAAGAAGTGACTCTAAAGGGAACTAGAACTAGAATTACTCCAAGAATCTGAAGGGAGCTAGAACTAGAACTGAAACTAATTTAAAGGAATTGAAAAAACTAAACTAGAACTAGGACTTTTGAACTGAAGCCACTTAGCTAGCAAAGACAATATCACATGATTCACACATATTGGATGCTTTTACTAACAAAATAGACTCTAGCTAGGACAAGAACTACATGTAGACCAAAGTACTAGAACTAAAACTAGAACTATATCAGTTGCACATATAGTACTCATATTAGAACCAATACTATAGTTACAGGTTTAGTCCTAGAGCTAGAACTAGAACTATTTCAATTACAGGTTTAGTCCTTGAACTAGAACTAGAACTAATGCTAGTTACGGGTTTAGTACTGGAACTAGAACTAATAGGTACAGGTTTAGTATGGAACTAAAACTATAGAACTAATTTTAAAAACAATTAAGAACTAGAACAACACTACTGAGTACATGTATAGGAATTCAGGGTTATCTGGTGTTTTGATATTGCATTTTGTACACTGTTCGTAGATGTACATGAAAACACAGTAAGTAAAATTATTACTTTCTTTAGTACAACTGCAATATATCCAGTTTTAGCATATAATCTTGATAGTCCATCCATTTGTTTAATGACAGCTGACAGTGATGGTACCAGCTCATTGGTAAGTATTGATACTGATACTGCTGACTGTATCAAGTCCATCTGTGTCTGTATGGAAGTCAAATACCAAACTTTGTCTTTACAACCATTAAATGCTTCTGTTAATCTATAAACAAAGAGATAAACAAAGGGATACACATGTTACACGATAATAGAGTAACAAGACACACAAGTACCGTATAGCTAGAAATTTCTGTGGCCCACAATTTCTGCGAATTGCCAAAAAATGGCTTTTGCGGATTTTATTTTCGCAAATTCACTTGATCACACTACTGATCAATGGCTGCTCTTCACTACTTACCTGAACTATAGTTGATGATGACACAAAGCTCTATCAGTTTAATAGGCAAGATAGGATTACTCTTTGACTCTGCTTAAAATTGTACTGGAACAGTACGTACCAAGAACACGCCAAGCACTTTACTATAATTACACTGAGAAAAGGCGTGGTGAGCCACACCTTTTAATTTACCTATTTTTGAGGATTTTTTTGCGATTTTGTTCAAATTCCCAAAATTTGCAAAATTTGCAAAAATTTTGGGCCACAGAAATTTCTAGCCATACGGTAGTTCAGCAAGTTACATGTACACTGAACTTGCAAACCAATTAACAAACCAAAGTTACTATGAACTTCAAAAGGGACTGTCTAAATATAGGTGTCTTGTATGGTTATGTACATTAAACAAGCAACTGCCAGGTTGCAAGGTCAATGCAAATAGCTGTATGCTAGCTTGCAATTCAGAATACCATAATTTGGGAAATTTCCAATTAGAAAACAAATTGGATAATTAATTTTCAATAATTTTAATTTTCGGATAGCCATCTTGTTCCGAAATTAAGTTTAATTCTAATATTAAGCAGTAATAGTGAATGACTCTGAAGAGACATTAAGGAGTTCAATGGTAGACCAAGAGAGAGTGAGCATGAGCAAGAAATAAAAAGTAGCGGGCACAGAGAAGTACTGAAGACAGCTAAAGTCAATTAAGCCACATGGCAAGGATACCAAAATTCCTTTTTACCCAAACGTTTTAATATTCAATTGTTTAAAATTTTAACTTTTTTTTCAAATTTTTCTACTCATCTGAAAATTAAAATTGTCTGAAAATTTCCCAATTTACAGTATATACAATAGTAAAACATCTAAAACATACTTTACATTATGTACACACATATAAACTTTATTTTTATAATGCTCTCTGTCATGTAAAGAATGAAATGTAATATAAACTGTGCCTATGGCTGATGGAAATTACAATAAACATTGTACATGTATTATACCCATAATATAACACTATAACCCTTTAAGTAATGACACACATACATACATGTACTTGTATCGTACTGTGCTAGCTAGGCTAGAGTACACTAGTGTCAGGAACAAATTATACCTACATGTACACGTATTGTTCTACATATATGTAAAATTGTAAGTCAACTTTTACCGTATACATGTAGCTAGAAATTTTGGAGTGTTAAACTTGGCGAATTGACTTCAAAAGAGGTTTGGAGGTCAAAATTTTAGTGAAATTTTAATTCTGTGCATGTTTCCATGGACTCTATCAAATTGGAGATTAAAAATTTAGCAAATGGACCTCAATTCGCCAAATTGGCCATAATCTTACTCCACCAAATTTTCTAGCTACACTATATGGTACTGTATATATCACTCACATGTACATGTACATTGTGTATACAACTGACACACATGAATGCACAAGCAAGAGTCAGCTGAGATACTACAATTATAAGCACTTCTAACATCTGCATGTAGCTAAATGTATCAATGCTAGCCATAGACTTACAAGTAAACTTATAGCAGTCTACATACATGTACATATCACTCAATACTTTTTAACTTAGGAAACATTACAAATCTAAGCATGCATGTCAATGTACAATAAGTTTATTACATGTACATGTACATAATACTTACTGAGTATCAACTTGTCTCCATTTTTTAATATGTTTTGATTTTGCAGCTGCTAATGTTGCTATGACTGATGTGCTTTCCCTCCACTTCAACTGTTCAATAACAGAAAATAATAAAATCTGTCTTCTTTCCCATTTCTGCTTCTCTGCCAATGGAAGACCAAGTGGATCTTCCATCCTTTAAAAAGAAGATAATGAGGCAGCAGAGGAAGGAAGAGCAATGAAAAAACATTACAAGTAGTAATTGAAAGCTGCAAAATTTGCCAAATTAGAACTACCACGTGCATTAAATACAACTAATTATATGTAATGTGCTTGTTCTTAAAGTACACATAAATCACATACATAGTTATTTAGGTAAATTCTGTACATGTACAGTATCTCTCTACCTTTCATCAGTAGTATCTATTAATAATCCTTCAATAACTGCAATCCAGTCAGCCATAATAGTCTCACATTCACCAATAGCTTTATCACTAAGAGACATTCTATTACCAGCCACTTGAAAATGCATCAATAAAGACTTAAGAGAGGGAGAAGGCTGACGCAAGAGAGGTTCTTGACTCAAAGACTGCGTAGCCATTTCTTGTATGAGAGAGGTTAATTTATCAAAACCAGAAAGAAAGGATACTACACTTTCTTTAGAGCACTCACCCCAATTACTCTGTGAGTGAAGAAGAGGTGAGTAGGCATTGGAAAGTAACATAGAAAGAGATGTTAGTACAGACTGCCTTATCTCTCCACAGTAGAGCTCCCTGTCAATTGTAGACGAATCAACCTCTTTAACTGGATCCTTCCTCAACACGTATAAACAAACTCTGTCATTTTGAACTGACGTAAAGAAGCTTTTAGTGATCTTAGACGTAACTCTGAGCTGCCTGCAAAGAGCACTAGAAGATCTACCAGTGTCCTCGTCTCTATTTTCCTCGCAGTAAAAGAAAAGCTTCCTTGGTTCACCTGGAGAGAGGAACTTAGTGATTAGCTCTGCTACCTCAAAATCAGCAAGAAAGTCCTCCAATACTGATGGATTGTCGTATCCGCCGAAACGAAACGTTTCCTGGAGCTTACCAGCGAACCAAAGAACTCTCTCGTCCATGCTGGCCCGCCAGAGAACAGAGAGAGAAATGTGGTTGCCCTTAGCAACTTAAATTCAAATTGAGCTGTTGTCATAGTAACGATGGGCTCTATTTAGAATCAGAAAACCTGAGAAAGGCAGAAAACAAACTTCTGATGGATTCTACAAAATGTGCGAGTCGTTGTACATGTACTTCCAAGAATAACGATCTGGCTAAGACGACCAGTGGTGATATTAACAACTCACCCACTCCTTCTTTTGTAGTCTCTCAAAGAACTCTGACAGTACACGCTGAAGGGGAAGTAACCTCAGAACCTGATAGGTACACACTGACCATAAACATTACTAGTATAAAACTGAAATTAGAAGACGCACAGTTAAGTGTCAAGAGAAGATCTGATTATATCCTACAAGCTATTCGTAATCATAATTTCAATAATAAGTGTATCAAAGTCCTTGAAGAAGCAGTCAGACTGCCGGCATCAGTCAATAATCGAGACACAGAGCAAGAGAGTCACCAGGTCAAGTGTATTATTAATATTGAAGGGGATGAAATGGAAAAAGTATTAGCGATAAAGAATCTACTTGTTGAAAAAATGGATGCTAATGTTGTATGCAGTGCAGTAGGTTGTTATCACAGTCCTGGACACAAAGCAAAGAAATGGTAAGGGAGGTAAAGAATGTGGTGTAATTACATTTTGGTGTGGTGCTCTATGTACATGCTGTTCATATATGTAACGCAAAATGAAGATTATGGCATATACAGCATAATATGTGTACATGTATCAAAAGCCATAGCATAATTCGGGCAAGTTTTACTGTGGTTTCAGAGAGATAACAACTATTTAACATTGAAGCTAATAAGTTACTTAATCATTTTTTACTGTAGATGCATGTATAACTAATCCATGGATAATTTAATTAATTTTTTTAACTACAATATAACCATGATCAGACTTTTTGCCAAGAGGAAATTAATTTGGTACCTTTATATAATGTATGTTTTCAATTCCTACTTTTTATTCATTATAGTGAAGAAGCATTTAAGTGTGCAGTATCACTAGCAAAGGCAAAAGCAAACTCTGTTACACAGTCACTTGGAGTACAGTTAGGATCAATTCTGAATCTAATCGAAGAGGGAAGAGCGGTGGAGAACAAAGACACACAGAATTATTGTATTGATATTAAAAACTACTGTATTTTAACATACACTACTACTGTATCTGCTATTTTTGAGGTATTACCAATCAAAAGGAGGAAATAATTTAAAACTACATTCACTTTTGTTTAATACTTGAATCCTCTTATTGTCATTATAGCCCTCACCAAATACATGTATTTGTGTAGTTGAGAACAATTTTAATTGTTTACTGGTTCACAAATTCATTTTTGCCATTGTATTAATGAAACTGAAGTTATTGCAAAATAATTATTATTCCTGTTTGCTCTTGCATGCATTTATTTATAATTACAAGCTGCATTCAATAATCAATGTATGTGTATACATCACAAACACTAAAGTTCCAGACATTATAGTACTCCATTTCAAGCTGAGCTCAGTGATTCTTTCACTTGGGTAGACCTACTTTTCTGGTTGGGATGTAGAAGGAGTTTAGAAAGTGATTTGTATGAAAAACCTTCTGAAGCTGATTCCAATGAACTACTAGCCAAATTTAACAAGTACATGTAATATGTACTGAGAATCTTATTATAATAGTCTCTAATTTCTAGTAATTTTATAAATTGTAAAGGGCCTAATCAACAGATATTTTCATTACATCCTTTTATAATTTATATTTGTTTTGCATCTACAGATATTGGAGTTTAGAGCTGCACGAAAGAAGCATGGAGAGTCGCCAAGAATGTTGTTAATATTGTTCAAAATGTTTTGGAGTTATCATCTTAAACAAGGACTGTTCTTGTTTCTTGAGATACATATATAATCTTATGGATATTTTCTTTAGATTTGTATGTATTTATTAGGTTAGTTCTTATATTACTACATGTAGATCTATGTCTGAGATGATAGGATCACTTGCTGACTATTTTACTCTTTCATCTCCATCAACTGATGGCACACGTGATGCTTACATATGTATGCAGTGGGACTGGCTTTATTGTCTACTGCTATTGTCTTTTTTCATGCTTACAATTTTCATGCATCATATTTATTTGGGATGCTTACAAGAATTACAATGATGTCTGCTTTATACCAAAAGGTGAGGTACACTTTTGAGCATTGAATTCTTTCAAGGCAGCCTAATAGTTACAATTCTTTTTGCATCTAACTTTTAGGTACATGTACTCTCTCTCTCAGTCAATCTACAGTGAGTCAGAAGACTATTGGTCATATTGTTACCTTAAGCCTACTATTTTTAGCGTCTACTAAATTAGCGAGAGAGCTTTAAACCATTAAATTAAATAGACGCCAAAATAATTATTATTAATTATAATTGTTATTATTTATAGTTAATTTGGTTAAAAACGCTAAAATTAGTAACGCTAAACATGACTTTTGCTGATTTCGCTAAACATGACTTTTGCTGATTTCGCTAAACATGACTTTTGCTGATTTCGCTAAACGCAAATACATGTAATAGTAGGCTTAAGGTAACTTGGCATCCAATGATGTCCACAAGTTTAACCTGGTCTGTATACATTTTGTAAATGCATGATTGACCTCATTTTACCTATACTCCTATAGCCATTTCTCTTTTGTCATTATTACTGGATTGGTCCCACACATATAACAGTAGTCACTTACCTATTGTATCATGAAGTGCAGTGGAGTGCGTTTGTTGCTACTGTTCTTGTTCTACTTCACATTCCTCTTCAACTGACAATTGCTTACTTCTCTAGCAAGCTAAGGCAAGGCAGTACATAATATATTACCTCATATAATTAGATGTTATTCACTTGCTTTCAGTTTTTTCACTATTAGCATTTACATTATTTATATTATTGTTTTCTGTTAATAGATTGAATGCTGCAAAGATGACAGATAAGAGAGCAAAGGTCATGAATGAAGTTATTAGTGGAATAAGAGTTATAAAGATGTATGCTTGGGAGTTTGCTTTCAGTAATGTAGTCACAGCAATTAGAAAGTAAGAAATCAACATTATTCATGTGCATTTAAATAATTGTAAATTTCTTTTTAGGAGTGAAATTTTAATTGCCAAATATTTTATGATTCAGGCAATCAGTTTGACTTGTGACACAGTCACCATTTCATTGATTAATGTTTTGCCTGTTCTCTGTTTATGTTAATACGTCTGATGCACAGATCACTCCAAGGAAAGTCTTTATTGCATTTTCTTTTGTAAGCTATCTTCGCAACTCTCGATCTCCTTCAAATTGCTACATCAGTAATACAGCAAGCAGCTGCTCTTGTTGCCAGAATGAGAATTAAAGTAAGTAACCTATTGAGTTGGTATATACATGTATCTAATTGATTAAAAATGTTACTTGTGAACTAGAATTTCCTTTTGCTGGATGAGTTAGAACAATTTCAAAACTATGGTACATTTGAAGCTAATTCCCTTTTACATGTGTGTCACTACTTTCCATTGACAGATTTGTGTAATCAATGTATTACTCTTGAGTCACTTTCATCTTCTAATGAAGAACTTACTAACTTTGTGAAGGTACAAGGACTAACTGCTTCTTGGTTGATGAATGCTGATAAATTGACTCTTAATGATGTCTCATTTACCCTCTGGCATTTCAAAAACATGTAGGAAAAACCATTGCTAGCCGTAGCTGGTAGTGTTGGTTGTGGTAAGGTTAGTTCAAAACTTTTTTTAATGATCACAGTGATCAAACTTACACACACCACATTGTCTACTCTTCTTCAGTGCCTCTTGAAAGAGCTACCTGTTTTGAGTGGCACAGTAATGGTTAAAGGATCAGTAGGGTATGCTAGCCAAGAAGCATGGGTGTTCTCAGCTACACTGAGAGACAACATACTCTTTGGTTTACTATATGATTGTGACAGATATAATATTGTAATAGAAGCGTGTGCTCTTGAGAAAGTATTTTGTATGTGTACTTATTACATGTACTTATTGTATTGTTTACATAGGATATTGAGCTACTTACCTGAAGGTGATTTGACTCTAGTAGGAGAGAAAGGAGTGACTCTCAGTGGAGGACAAAAAGCTAGAGTTAATATAGCCAGAGCAGTCTATAGTCAAGCTGATGTTTATCTTCTTGATGATCCCTTGAGTGCAGTAGATGCTGCAGTCAGTAGACATCTGTTTGAAAGGTAGATACATGTATCTTGTACATGTGCATCTGTAAGTTTGTATTTTTATGGTGTATTCGTATTCATGGAATATTATTAGACAAGATTGTTATACTAGTAACTCATCAAATGCAATACCTTGAGTAGTGTGATGCTATACTTGGATTAAAAGAAGTGGCTACATTTTGATATGTATGTACTCATTAATTGTGCTCTTAATGTGTAGGGTTGTGTAGCTGTGTATGGTGACACTGATGAGGTTTTGAAAGACAACAGTGCAATCACGGAGTTACTAGTTGATAATGTGCATGTAAGTAAGACTGCATACATCTATGATTGCAATGTTATATCAGCAAGTAAAGCTGGACAAGAGAAAAGTGAGTTTCTAAAATTTTCAATAAAAAATTTAAGATAATAATTAATATTTTCAGATCATTTTGATAATTGTGAGAAAGATCCCGAGATTGAGTTTAAACCAAATCAATTAACAGCTAATACTCTATGTATTGCACATTATTGTCATCATATTTATGCTTGAAATAGGAAGTAGTTGAAAAGATGTCTGTTCCTCCTGAAGAAAGAGCTCATAGTACAGTATCCACCAAGATGTACATTCGTTACTTTTTAATTGGAGGGGGCTATTTGTTCACATTAGTAATCTTACTTCTTTATTTAATGACTGAGGTGTGTCTCATTGTCGCTTTAAAAGTTGCTATTTTTTAGTTTTGATTGAAAATGTACCAAACTTGCCAATTATGATTGAAAACTGCAAGAGACATCAAACAGCTCGAAGCAAAGAGTGAGTAAATTTTTGTATTTTTGCATATTCTAGCAGTTATATATTATAATTATAAATGCGTGTTTATAGCTCGGAGTCCTGTCTACTCTCATCTACATGTATCTGTTACATTACAAGGACTGCCTACCATTAGATCATATTCAATGCAGACTGAAGCAATGCATCTTTTCTACAAGTTTCAAAATCTACACACTCAAGCTTCCTACCTTTATAATTATTGTAACTAATAGGTAAGAGATGATAATGTCTCTTGTGATACTGTGATTCATAGTTATTGATGATGTAACAGTACATATACACTTTATTCATTTAGATGGTTTGGAATGAGACTTGATATTCTTAGCACATTATTTGTTGCATCTGTAGCTTTTGCATCTATTCCCCTGTCATCTAGTAAGTGAAGAGCAAAGAGAGTATTTATTTTGGCAAAGACAGTATTTTATTTTCACAAAGGGCAAACAAATTATTTATGTTGGTATTCATTTTGTATTCAGTGCTGGATGCAGGTTTAGTGGGGCTGGCACTTATCTATTCTGTATTACTCAATGGTGAATTTCAAACCTGTATCAGAGATGGTACTTAAGTAGAAAGTTTTGTTAGTCAACATGCAATGAAAGAAGCCTTTAATTTTTATCATATACCTTTAGGTGGTTTCAGCAGAGAGGGTGATGGCTCATGGTCCCTTGGAAACTGAGTCATCCTTAGAAACTGATCCTTCAGTATCACTGAGTTCAGACTGGCCAACCAAGGGACATATTGAACTGAAAGATGTCTCCTATTGTCACTCAAATGAAGGACCATTTGTACTTAGAGGAATTACATGTGATATTAAACCTAGTGAAAAAGTATATGAAACAGTGAATTATTATTTTGATAAATATTAGATTGGTATTGTGGGTCGTACTGGAGCTGGTAAGTCATTTCTCATTGGGGCATTGTTTAGACTAGCTGAACCAGGTGGTAGTATTAAAATTGATGGAGTAGAACTCACTCAACTGGGACTCCATGATGTTAGGAGTAATATGTCAATTATTTCACAAGTCAGTTTTATTTCATTTGGTACAGATAATCATTCTTTTGCATACTGCATGTAGGATCCGGTATTGTTTGGTGCATCAGTGCATTATAATTTAGATTCATTTAAACAATATAATGATGATAAGATATAGAAGTCATTAAAACAAGTATGGTTTTAGAATTATCTATCATATACACATGCATGTGTGTATATACATGTAGGTTCCACTAAAGAATGTAATTGATAGTCTTAAAGGAAGATTGGAGAGTAGTGTAAGTGAAGGAGGTGCCAACTTTACTGTGGGACAAAGGCAATTGCTCTGTTTAGCCAGAGCTCTCCTTCAAAACAACAATATTATCATATTAGATGAAGCCACTGCTAATGTAAATTTGGAGTGAGTTTGAGTTTTCATGTAGTTTCAAATAGTATCTTT